TTAGGATATGCATATGTCTTGAACTCTGTTGGTTTACCATGGTATTAAATTCTATTTTCTATTCTCTACATCAAACCTGAACAGCAGTCATTTGCTTGGAGCCATGTGCCACGTTAGTCTTTTCACTGTTTATCTGACTTTATGGAAGTTAAATTTAACAAATATATATATATATATATATAACATATATATGCGTGTGTATATATATATATACATACATATATATATGTGTGTGTGTATATACATATATATATACATACATATATATATGTGTGTGTGTATATATATACATAAATATAAAGTATTTTTTTAAAGTCTGCCCCCCTCCCTTGCCTAGCAACTTAAGAACTATTCTCTGATGTCCAACAACTTTGAAGGGTTTTTCAGATCTTTCTGAATAAATAGTTTATGAGCATTGTACTGGTATCATTGATGGGGTTTTGATGAATAATTAATTTTATCTTTATTTCCTGGCAGTGAATACATAAAAAGATATGAGGTACATATGACAAAAGAGATTCAAAATTTCTTGTTTCCCGAGAGCACAGCCTTTCTTAGCATCATTAGTTTAAAGCTTTTGTTAGGGCTTAACTAACTTCAGTAAACTTAAGTAATATCACCAATACATGGGGTACAAGCAAAAATAGTTAACACTGCTCACAACGGATATCAACATTGGTTCATATTCCCTAAAATGACTCTTTACAGATCAGGCACAAAGCTATGAGACCTTCTACCTGTTTAAGTGTCTGTCCCATCCAAGTAGCAGTCATTACATTATTTTCAAGGCTCTGACAAGGAAAAAAAAACACTTTTCCTGAAGAATTTTATTTATGTACTTAATCTTCCTATTTGGGCAGTACAGTTATTCCCTCCTTTTCATTAAAAAAAAAAGACTGAAACTTTGACATTGACAGATGTGTTTGCAAGGGTAAGGCTGCAGAATTACTAATTTCCGTGCACATAGAAAAGTATTTTTAAATGACATACCAGAATCTAGAGATCTGAGAATGCCTGTAAAAGTAAATGTTTAAGGTACTCAGAATATGCCTTGTTTAACTAAAAGTATCTTCCAGATGGCATTTGCAAGTGTTAACAATAACTCAAGTAAGCTACAAAAAGTAGTACTTAGTTCTTACCTGTCTAGTAAGGAAAAAATAATTGCCAATATCTGCTTAGAAGAAGCAACTTTTTATTACTGAAAGGGTTTCTGCACACTCTTCTGGCAATATTGTGTCTGTATAGAAAATGAACTTTTCAAAAGTAATGAAGATAGATTCCTCAGGTGACCAAAACTGAAAGTATTTTTGTTTCATTAATAAAGATATGAAATACAATTAAAGCAAAGTATTTTACATTAAAATCTTGGCTGTGCCTTTTTTTCAAGAAGTAAACTAGCCTGGGTAAGAAATTGCAAGTGATTTGTTTTTATTTTCATTTCTCAAACCATCAACCATTCAATAGGTACAAAAATAGAATTGGGTAAAAGCCACTCTATTCCAAAGTATTAGAAACACATTTTGATATTTCTCATGTCATATTCTTTTGTTTTGAAATTTATATGTATATTCAGAAATTCCTATGTAAGACTTCAATTCAAAACTACAGAATACATTTCTTCACTTGGGCTTTTATAAGCAAATATTTTCAGTTTTGAAGTATCATCTATTGATGACACTGCAATTACACACTGGCAATAAGGGTACTTATGAGGTAATTATGAAGTCTTAAGGAAATTAAAAATTGGCCAGATGAGCCAAGAGAGAAAAACATCATCTCTCTAAACAGCTCTCCAGTACAACTTTAAATGAAAGGTGTTTCCTATGAGCATAAATGCTCTCTGCTTTTCCAGAAGGGGCAGACTCCTGGGGCTCCCCCTTGACCAATATCCAGAGGGCAAGGACACCCGATGGCTTGGGCTCCACAGATCAGCATCTGGACCTGAAGGAAGACAGGGAGGACGGCAGATGCAGAGAGGCAGTTGAGGTAATTATGAAGTCTTAAGGAAATTAAAAATTGGCCAGATGAGCCAAGAGAGAAAAACATCATCTCTCTAAACAGCTCTCCAGTACAACTTTAAATGAAAGGTGTTTCCTATGAGCATAAATGCTCTCTGCTTTTCCAGAAGGGGCAGACTCCTGGGGCTCCCCCTTGACCAATATCCAGAGGGCAAGGACACCCGATGGCTTGGGCTCCACAGATCAGCATCTGGACCTGAAGGAAGACAGGGAGGACGGCAGATGTGGAGAGAGTCAGGATAGCCGCCTCCCTTATTAGCTATTGATCCAGACATTCAGTGTTCTTCACTATTTGGCCCTCTAAGGGCACTGATAAAACAGCATATGAATGACAGGCATCCGGGGCTGAGGGGTTTGGACACTGCAGCGTTTAAATGTACAACATAAAATGAGAAGAATAAAGCACTTTGCTCCTCTGTGTTAGAGCACCCACTGTTGGGTTTACATTTCAGGGCAACACCTATAAAGGGAAGCAATGTTCCATCCATGAAAAACTAACAGCCAGTCTTCACAGAAATGGTTAAACCACAGAGTTGATGATAAGGGGAGTATCTTCAGCTGGAGCCAAAAAAGCAAAAACACCCCAAAAAACCCTCTAGTTTGAAAATAATCACGTTCAACACAATTTGGGTGATTACCAATTGTGGGAACTTGGCAAGAAACAGTTGCTTACAGCAGTTCAGGCTTTTCATGTTGCAGCCACACTCTGATTTTGTCAAAATTTTTATCCATCCAACGTATGTTTTCCTCGATGGTTTCAATAGTTTGTTGGACACAACGGAGCTGAGAGCCACTTTCTTTCAAAGAGTGGAAGAATCCTTTTACCTTGGGAAAAGAAAATGGATTTTTTTAAAAATTAATTTTATCACACTAAGCAAATGTTACTAAGGCTAGTTAAAAGAAAACTGAAGCCAAAATTACAGAATTTGTCAAAATTCTCTACAGAAAGCAGAGCCAGGTGTCTGGATATGATTATATGCATATAAGCTTCAGCTATATGAAATGAGTTCATGGCTCATGATGTCAGGTTTTGTATTTTTTCTCTGCAGCTCTTTTATTTATTCACAGTTTCCAGGCTTTAAAAGGCTTCACTGTTTAGCATTTTATAATTAAGGTTTAATTGTGTCTATTTAATATGTATTCTGTTCTATACACACAGATGCAAACTTAATTTTTTTAAATATGATATCTAAAAATCAAAATGTGCACAGTATCTTCTTTGCCAAGCAAAACAGTTTCAATCACATAAATGCAGTCTTTTTTCATGGGCCTAGCCTTGTATGTTATTATAGAAACACTGTAGGAAATGGACTTCTTTGCAAGTTATGGTGGTAAGACCCCCAAACCTTGCCAAATTTTTTATTCTGATTCACAATCTATGTATTGTTCTCTCAAGATAAAATCTACAGGAAGTTCTCCATGCTTTTAAAGAGATAAAGAGACTTGGCTGTCTCCTCAAAAATGCCTTTGTTTTTATTTCTTTTCTGGGTATTCAAATCCCTTAAGCTTACATGAGGGTCATGCTAACTTTGCCACAGCACTGAAGATCATGCTATTTTGTTTCACCTTGCCAGGTTCTTAACTTTTTCACAAAAATTTTCATGGCATTAGTACATCAACTTTTGATTTTGTAGTCAGGAAACAAGTGTGGGCCAAGATGTATTATTTATTCAGCATGGATTCCAGAGAGCTAATTCCTTAAAAATCCATGTCATAATACCATGTTACGAGTTTAGGAGTAGGAGATGGGGGTAAAAGTGGGCTTTAGAAAGATCAAATTCCAGTTTTAGATGATGCAGAGTTGTTTTATATTACAGACAATACAATTTCTCAAACTGCTACGGGATGGTCACTGCTGGAGGACCCCGAATACACCTCCTCCTCCTGCCCCACCTTGCACTCAGGCAGCCTAAAGTTCTACCCTCCTGAACCCGAGATTAATTCCCCATCAATTAAAAGCCACTTTGGGTCCTCCGACCATCAATAATGAAGACCACATTGATAATTTCACTAATTGTCAAAATATTTCATTAATTCTTGAAGGGACCCCATCATGATAGCACCATTAAAAAACAGAACTTCCACACAAGTTGTAGCAAGGCCAACTCTTTGCCCTTCTCCTGACCCAAAAGTATCTCTTCCTCATTTGTCTCAGAAATGCAGTATCTCAACTGTATAATTGATTCAAACCAGCCTCTCTCAGGACATTTTATATGCAAAAAACAGTTTAGGACTTGAGGAAAGTCTGCTTTCATAGAGTACCTGTATATTTCATGGTCACTCTTTCTGATAGAATAACATACACTAATTTCTCATTTTGGCTTTGCTAGGAAGCTTTTTGATAAATTTAGGGCACCACTGCAATAAGTATCACCAAATTCCTTCATATAGTTACCTCCTGTTCATTACAGAGTGTTTTATTCTTTATGTTAATATTTTATAGATGGATTTTATAAGCTGTATAAAATTCTATCTCCAAGTAAATGGTATATATGGTAAGTAAAAAGAAAAATGCCAGGTGTGGTGGTGCACGCCACCCACACTTGAGAGACTGAGGCAAGATGATCACCATGAGTTCAAGGCCAGCCTGGACTACATAGCAAGCCCCTCTCTCAAGAAAATACACAAAAAAGAAAAATCCATGGACTTGGATAGAGAAGAATCTGCCTCTCTCACATTCACTGGATGACCAATTTAAGTCACCTGTACCTTCAAAGTTCACTTTTAACATCTTTACATAAGGACTAATTGTCACAAGTCATTTTTTACTGGTAGAACAAAAACTCAATATGTCCAACAAGAGGTACAGTTTCCTCTATTTTATCTGCAACTGAATTTTGTTGATGTCAGTACCATGGAATCCATAAATAAACTGACAAAATTCATTTCTAAGTCATCTTAATTTCAAGTGTTTTGTCTGCTTCATATTTAAGCTTAAAAGAAATAATTTGTTTTCTTTCCTTACCTCTGCAAGTTTTGTTCTGGTAGAGAATTGATTTGTTGTTCCCATGACCATGTGAGCTATGGAAGGTGATCCAAGTTCAAACCTTGAAATGGAAATTATCAAAATGTGTTGTGAAATATTTATGCATTTAACATATATTTTAAGTGACTCGCATCTATAATAACATTTAACTAAAAACTGATTAAGCATGAAAAAAATATAAAATATGATCTCTATCATCCACTGGGTTAAGACTTAGTTGTAAAATATGTTACATGCCCAGCAGCTGGATAAATGATTAAGTACCCAAAAGAAGGATAAATGTAGGAGTGCTACAAGAGTTAGATAAAGGCTGATGCAAGAGTGGTTAGAGGAGTTGGACAGATATAAGAAGAGGAGGGCTTCAAATAAGCCATTGAGTACAAGAAGGAGTCTCAGTGGAGTAGAAAACATTCCCACCCAACATTAGCATTTTGTCAGCACTGAATTAGGGCTTCACAGTTAATAAAGATATTCTAAGTAACTCTACTTCCTATCTTCAATCAAAAAACTTCCTTTAGACTGTTACTATTCTTTCATAAAGATCAACACTAAAACGCAGCAAGTTTAAAGAACGTATTCAATCCCAGCACCTTTTTGGTACTACTCACTTTTGTACAAGTTTGTTCCAATTTTTCCTCAGAAACTGCCAGGCCAATGGATATCCCACTGGGTTTCTGCCAATGAGTGTAAGAATATATGGAAACTCTTGAGTTTTTATTATGTCTCCCTTAAAACTTTGATCTAGCAACCTGCAATGATGAAGACAAGAACTGTTGTTACCAGTGAGTAGGTGATGAAAAAGCTATAAAAGAGTACAATAAAATAAGTTATAAAAGAAAAAAACCCAGTCTGCCAGTAACAATGGCCAAACAGGTAAAGTGGTAACTGGAGTCCTGATAAGCCCATTATAGTGACACATAATAATAAAAACTAACACTTACATGGCATCGCCAATACCTATTCATATATATTCCCCTCACTCGCTCAAAAGAATAGTTAATTGAACTCTAATAAGTAGATGAAGAATGTTACTGCTTTAAAGATACACAGCATAAATGCCTTTAAGCAGTTTCCCCAACACCTGATTTCCCCTAATTATTTGCCATTAGATGGGTGCCTTCTTGCACAAATGTTCTAAGCATAATAGGCGGTTCCTGGCCAAGGGAACAGAAGTAGAGGCCAGAATGATGAGATCTGTTAGTGGCCCTTGGCCACATGAATATGAATGAATGACTTACCACTGAAGCTTTTCCTTATTTTGGCTTACACAAAGGGCATATTCAATTTGGCTTTTCTCGGTACTGGATAAAGAAGACTGATATTTATTAAAAAGAAAATTCCATCCGTCAGTGTTCTGTGCCCCCACAGCAAACACTGCCAGGGTCACATCAACAGGCAGGCTGTGGGAAAGAACAAACCCTGTGAGAATCTGAGGTCCAGAAAGTGCCTGCAAATCATAACGGTGACCACTTATGAACTGGCTCCATGCTCAAAGAGGCACGCCTGGAAAAGTAAGCAAAAACTACTGCTTCTTGCCTTCTACGAAAAGAGGTGAGGGAAAATATCCAAAATCAGATTTTAAGTAGCCTTCCCAAGACCTTAGTGTGAAAGATCACTCTTATAAATACCAACATTTCTAACATTTTAATAATGTCCACTGACTCCATAGGTGGTCATCTTTAAGGAAAAATGAAAGAATTTCAAACAGTTCAAAATTTACCCCCTGAAAACAAGACCACTATTAGAACCACTATTTATAAGCATTTCTTTTAAGTGGAAGCCTATAGGCTTTTGGAATAAATGGGTTTTAAGCTTCAAACATAAAAGGACTGAAGTATTGCAAGAAAAGAGATTTCTAAACATGATAAAATCTTCCTTTACAGAGAGGCTTTAGAGGCACAAAGAAGCCTCATAAAGTGCATTGCCACTATTTCCTGTATTATGGTTTTAGTTCAGTAAGATCTTGTGCTGCCTAATCAAAATGGGAATTACTGTGATCCTATTCTAACTCTCTAGATATATGATTTCCCTACTAGCATTTCTTAAAACAGAAAGTGACAGGTACATAGATAAATCTTAAAAAATAATTTATTTTCCCCAAAAAATGACAGTAGGGAAGAGTTGTTTATACTTTTTGGGGTTTTTTTTCCAGTGGTTAACACCAATGATGGGAAAACAGAAAAAGAAAAAAAAAAAACCCTTACATCAACAAATTGGTTCTTCTGTAGGGACTGACCTCATGTTTCCATCGGATTCCTTCCACTTCCTGAAATAGCCTTCTGCCCTCTGCACACAGGGCTGATACTTGAGCACACAGGCCAGCAGGAGGAGCCGGCTCCGAAGCATCTGCTCGGAGACTGAGCCCTCGTCCATCCAGGTCTGCCTATCAATGAGGTCCCGCAGTAGCTGGATGAGGAAGGCCTGAGGGAGCGGAACACAGGAAGGGGCAGGTGTCGCCAGCGTCTTCACCACTCATGTCCTGCTTAGGACAGCCCAGTGCTCACTCCGGTGATGGCAGCTAACTTTTAAAGTTTAATCTAATTCTTATTTCTTTTTAAAGTGTGCAGGTCTATTTATATTTAATTATAAAAGGGATCAGAACAAGACATAATTTCAGTATTTGCATAACAGCCTTTTGTAAAGACAGCCTATCCACTTAAAACCAGGGTGATTTAAGCTAAAGAAACAGTTACATGAAGAAATTTTGAGAGCAAATTATGCAAACTTTATGACATTTTGTCAAAAACGATAAGTGTGTGCCACTTAAAATACCACAAAAGGCTCCAGAAAATCTTTATATCAGTCATCATAATAGAGAAGTAAAAAGAAATAAAGTAAAAGTCCATGAAAATTAAGTACAGAGTTTAACATTGCATTTTATTTTAGTGCTAAAATAAGAATCTTTGTGAATTAATCCAAACTCTAAATGTGTATTTGTTTCCTCATATACATTACACACACACAAACACACAGACACACACAATGGTAAGCACTTGTTTCCTACACAAGGAAAGCAAGCCATAATTATATAATCTCCCTATTTATAGTCAGGCTCTTACCTTGAATTGAGTTTCCACTTCAGTCATATCTCTTTTCTCCATTAACTTATATATAGGGATCAGCTCATTCAATCCTTGGAACACAGGCAGAATTTCAGCTTCATGTTTCAAGTACAGGGTTAAATCCAAGGCTTTTTCAATTGAGAACTTTCCAATGCTGACCAAGAGACACCATGATTACTTGTGGGACTAAAAGAAAATCCAGGAAATCGTCTTTTTGCTACAAAATGTATCAATCTTCCATCAAAACAGTGACCTTTAAATTAGTATCTTTCCTATCATACCTAACATCTGGGAGGATTACATAGGGGAATAGGGTTCCACATAATAGAGCAAGCTGTGGTTAAGATGAAATGGAAGGCCATCCACGTGGTCCTCCGGGACACGTTGGGTTGTGTGCAGCACTTCGAAAAGAAGGGAGCTCACAGGTCTTTAGGAAGCCTCCTCAGAAAGCCTGCATTCAGCAAAAGTATGAGTCTCTGGAGTAAACTGCCTTCTCTGTTTCAAAGACACTGAAGATACTCAGAAACTCTTCACAACAGAGGGCTGATACTAAACACCTCAGTAGGAGGGTATGTACCTATATACGTAAGCATAAAACCCTTTAAGATTCAAGAAGAAGTGTGCCACACAGAGGATTTTTTCAGCAGAAGGAAACAACTAGATGCACAACCCTTAACTTCTCTCCCTGTTGCTTTTCGCCACATTGGAAGGCACAGTCTGGTGTTAGAAGAACCAGAAAGAAGAACTCAACATTCAGAGCAGAAGGACATAGGGTTGAGAATTATAAAGCTACCCTTTTTCCCCTGGATGGTTCCTCCTAGGACTTCAATTATGCCTAAAGATGAAAAAGATTTGAATTTTAGGCATGGAGAAGATTTCCTTAAAACCACTGTTATGTGAGGGAAAAAATGGATCCCATTCACTCTATGCTCAGCTACACAAGGGTCATTCGATGGGGCCAAATTTTATGAGCTGTATTTCCAAATATGCTGTGAAGTTCAGATATCTAGAGGGCTTTTTTGTTGTTTGGTTGGTTGGTTTGGTTGGGGTTCTTCTTGCTTTTGTTTTAAATCTCACCTTTAATCCAAGAGATGTAACAAAAACAACTGGGTCTAGGTTACTTAGTCTTCTAAAAAGGTTTCAGGATGGCTGTAGACCCAGCATGGGACAAACCTGATCTGCTACGGCAGGGCCAGAAAAACTGCAGGACAAGGCTTGAGGGGTGGGCACACAGCCTCACTAGGATGTTGTCTCCTGGATTTTACACAACCTGGGTCTTATCAGAGTTGGGAATGAGGAAGATGAAAATATAGATTCTATATTTCCAGCCACCCAGCAGTCAGACAGGAGGTTAGTCACATGGTAAAAGCAAACATCGATTGTTGGAAGAACTTAGGGAAAATACCTTTCAACTTCTCGTTAGCAATCAATCAATCACTTTCATCTTAAGAAATCAAGAATTTGGACGATAACAGTTGCTTTCAGAAGTAAACCACAACTTTGCAGCTTGAATTACCTGACAAGCTGAAATGCATTGTTAATGAGACTTGCTCGATCGTTACTACTGATCACTGTGTGTGTCTTTTTCAAGAGGCCACTCAAAGAATCCCATCCATCATCTTCGTAATGCACAATGTAATAGCCATTCAGTCCCATATTAAATTTGATCCACTCCACTGCTTCTGGGAGGATGAGCACATCTAGAGCAAATGCAATAAATCATAGCTCCATTTACTCTCGTGACTAATGAAAGCTTTTCTGATCAGACACTGGATGGAGAAACTAGAGAAGAGTTTAATGCTGAACAAATTAAAATGCTTATATCTGTTAGAAACCAGACAACTGCAACCTAATATAGACAAAAGCCAACACTAGACTTAGACACCAATTTTGTAAGATTTACAGATCTATGGAAAGAATGCGACCACATTTCTGGCCATACAGACAAGATATCCTGGTAATGTTAACAAAACAATGAGTTTTCATTGGTAAGCCTTTGTTTTTAGCACTGTAAATCAACTGTTTTAATTTCTACCCAGCATTATATTTGCCATTCTTTTTTAAAATCAGGCAACATTTTCAACCTAATCCCTTTTGTTTTAACCAAGATAAACGGCCAAAGACATTTATGATTTAAATCATACATGTCTCCACACTTTCTCTTTGGATAAAATCAGCTATTTTCACAGTAAGTTACCTGTCTTTGTCTTCAGCAAAAATCTCTGGACTGAGTCTGAGTTGCTGGTAATGAATGTCAATGGAACATGCCATAAGTACCTAAAAGAAGGGAGGAATGGATTTCCATTTCTTTATTCACTCAACAAGGAGTTATGGCTAGTTTAGAACAGAAAGGTATAGAAACCATTACAGCCAAGGTCTCAAAGTGTAGTTTGTTTTCCAGCTTGGGCACTTCAGATCCTTCTTAGACTTCTTGAGTACAGTCTGGAATTTAAATTCGAGGGAATAGTGGACTGGAGACCTGAGACTTGACTTAAAACAGTGACCACTTAAGACACCTCACCTCTGTGGAATTCCTGCCTGCGAAGCACAACCTGAACCTGGTCCTGAAGAAACAGTGGAAACACATGCTGAAGGAGAGTCTACAAAACAACTGGCCTTTACTCTTTGGAAAATGTCAAAAAAGAAATGAAAAGGGAGACTGAAAAATTGCTTCAGACAAAAAGGAGGCCAAAATGAATAAGATTTAAATATGATAGGTGAGCCTACATTCAAGTAGAGATTTCTTCTCTTTTCATATAAAGATATTTTTAGGATAACTGGAACAATTGAACAGAGTTTACAGACCAAATAATACTATTGTGTCAAGTTTATTTCCTAATTTTTGATAACTGTACTGACTGTATAAGTGAGTACTCTAAGGGTGTCTTGTCTCCAACTTACTCTTACACAGTTAAAAAATGTGTGAGTGTGTGTGTGTGTGTGTGTGTGTGTGTGTGTGAAAGAGTGAGAGAGAGAGAAAGAGAGAGAGAGAGAGGGAGAAACCCAGAAAAACATATATGGAAATTCTTTGTACTGTTCTCACAGCTTCTCTGAAAGCTTGAAATTATTTCAAGATGAAACAGTTTTTTTTTGGCCTAGTGTCTATCCTGGGTCAATCAAGTTGCAGCATTTCATTTTAATGAAATCCTTCTGTGGCATTAAGCTGACAGCTTCAAATTCTAACTAAGGCTTCCAAGTTCTTCACCTCTCCTCCAGAGAAGAGAGCTGGGTCTCCTGTAATTCCCAGAAACATCTAAATTCTTTTGTCCTTAGCTCCAACCTATTGTAACGTAGTGGTGGTTGCTTTGACCAGAGCTTATTTCAAGCCAGTAACTAGAAATTACAGCCTATTAAACTATAAAACACAAGAACATTAAGACAATTACATATCATTAGCTATCCTGAGACTAACCAAACTTAAAGCTTCCTTAATCCTTTTGGGATGACAGGGAGATACAAGACACATAGATTCAACCGAAATATTTTAGGATAGTATTTCAAAAGTAAGATTTAACCTAGCAGGCAGATGTTACCTAGGCAACGAGATGATTCTTGCTCTATGAACATTACCCGGTTTCTGGGGCACTGTCAGACCCCTTGAGGTAGTATTCCTGCTTCATGTGCACGTTCCTCCCTCTCACTGTGATGGTTATCAGGGGAAAGCCCTTCTGCAACGTCCAGGTGTTCATCATGGCCTTCACATCCACACCTTCCTGACGCCAGTGCTGGTTAACATACAAAAGGGCAGATGTGTCATCCACACAGACCCGACTCTAAGAGGAGAGAAGGCCAGCTTGTGCCCAGGGGGTTGCTTCCCATTGAGCCTGCTCTGCTCTGGGGAACTCCTGTGCTCCCTGGTCTCCCACCCTGGCTTTCTTCCCCAGCTGTCCCCAACCGTCGAATTTCCATAAGAGCACTGTTTATTTTTCAGTCTCCTCTGCTACATATGTGTGTCTTGACAAAAGTAAAGAAAAAAATGCAAAGGATAATATTCTGTCGAATTTCCAGATTGACCCACAGCAATATGAAAATATTCTACAAGTCAGATAAACAGAATCAGGCCGCTTTGTGACTCAGTTGTTTTGAATACTTTATAGTTTAGCAGTTAAAGGAATGTTAGATCTAACTTCAAATCCCTGTTCTGCAATTTCCTGGCCATATGCCTTTGGATTTCTTAGTCCTACATTGTTCGGCAGGAATAGTAAGAGAGACTAGCTTACAGGATTGTTATGAAGAGGAGAGGAAGCAATATACCTAAGTGCTTAGTGTGTGATGATAGTAAATGTTAAAGAATACACACTGCCATTATTTTCACAAATGCAGAGCTCAAGAAATGATTGACATATCCTCCTGATTGATAGAATGCAGCCCTAATCTACCACAGAAATAGCCATAAGTCCAGTGCTTTACAGAGAGCAAAGCTAAAAAAAAGTAGCTTCAGTGAGAAGCACAGCCAAGGAAGACCCCACCCCTCTTGCATGTGTATATGTGTGTGTGTGTGTGTGTGTGTGTGTATTTTTTAAAAGAAAATTATAAAAGGCTGTGTATCTAGTATAGTTCGATGTAGAATCCTCTGGAATGAGGGTGAGATCATCAGGGATATGGGAAAGTTTTGCACAGAGCTACTCTTCAAAGAATATGGTGTAAAAGATCATGCTTACAGGAACATGGGCGGACGGAAAAACTTACGGAGGAGAAAGATGAATGCTGGCTTTGGGAACAAAAGCTGTCCGTGGTTTGTGTACCATCTCCTCCTGGGCAAATCTAAAACCACAAATACGGACATCACTCTCATTTCTGTAGCAAACACCCGTGATTCTTCTCAGATGGAGTAATATGAGGTAGGAAAAACAAAATAAGAGAAAAACCGTCGACTGATTCCAATAGTAAAGACACACAAAAACATACTCACACTGGCCATCGTATTCCACAGGTCCTCGTTTTTTGTATTTTTATAGGCATACTTTTGGAGATACTGCACAATTCCACTTTTAAACACACTGGCACTGAGATACTCCCTCAGCATGTTCAGAATACAAGCACCCTGAAAAGATAATGCAAATAAGTGATATCTGTAGTTTTGCATACACTATATTTTGTAATAATTCTTTTAAAATGCAGCTGCACTGGTTAGTACAAAGCTGATGCCTAATTAATACCTACTCATTGAATGATCAGTAAAAGGCAGTTTCAGAAGGCCATAAATTTTAGTCCAACAAAGAGTAAATAAAGAATTGGCCATAATATAATTTTAGGATTGTAGGTCAAACTTGTAGTAAAAGAGCTCATGCCAGCCAGCACAGATCAAGACAGAAGGCATTCAGTCTGGTTCTCCTGACAGTCAAAACCACCCACTAACCTTACCTAATCTCTCCACCCCAGTATCAGAATGTACCCTTACAATCCACTTTTACCTTTTCATAAGAAACGTCATCAAACATTTCCCGAATCTGAGCAGGATTCTCCACAGGTGTGGACACAGGGTGTGAGGAATTTAACGCATCGACCTCCATTGCACTAAAACACTTGCCAAAGAAATAGTCTTCCTAATGAGACAGAAAAAAAGAAGAGAAAACATCACCTGTGAGTTACATTTAACAAAAGTAGGAACAAATAAAGATTTGATCTCAGTGACAGGTATTGCTAGTTTTTATGAAATAAAACAAAATTACTATGCTCCCTGAAGAACATAAAAAAAAACCACAATAATTTCAGGCAAGCATTTTAGATTTTATTCTTCTTAAATACTTTTAAATTTAAAATAAAGAAAATTTCATATTAACTTAAAAATAAAACCTCTACTCTTATAACTAAACAGCAACAAAATAGTAAAATAAAATGTGATTTTGACATTTTCATTCATCATTTGTACTACATTATCTGAAACAAAGATATTTAGCTTTAAAACAATGTAATGTGAGAAAAAAATGGAGAATAAATTCCATCCTTAACTTTATTTGATACATTAACTCAACTGAATAATATGCACCCATAGTCATTGTTATTATTAAAGATTATTTGGACACAGGAAAATATTTATGACCAATTTTAATATATTAATACTATGAAATTTAGAATTATAACTATGTATAGCACAAACAAATAAAATGGGAACTAATAAGTATGGACAAATAAAAATTTAGTTTGATAAATTTTTTTACCTAAATTTTTTTTGTATGCAATTATGTCAAGTTCAAAATGTGATGTTTACAATAAATATATACCAGTCCTGAAATATTAAATTTGATGATTCATGAGTCCAGTCTGATATAGTATGCAATATAATGTGAAGTTACCTTAAGCATAATTCACCTGAATTGCCAAATAGGGTTTTAGTGAGATAATAGAAATGTATACCCAATACAATGAAGCAATATGAAAGTTGGAAAAAAAAATCACTGAAACATTCACATTCTCATTATTTCTACTTCTTCGATACTAAGAGAAGATATCACTTAACCCTTATTTCATAGCAGCCAAAGATTCACACTCAAGTCTGGTAAGTCTTTGTGGTGTATCTTAGAAGTTCACCAGCATTCTTAGAATCTAGTTCATGTCTAAGCTCCCAAGGAAGTTGCCAATGCAATTTTATATATTCTATAACCAGAGATTAGAAGATGTTTTCCAGCAACACTGATGAAAGCAATGGATTAACCTAAAATAAACTTACAACTTTCAGTTCAGGATGGGTCACACTGACGGACACGAACTCCATAAACTTGGCAAATCCTTCATTTAGCCAAAGATCATTCCACCACTCCATAGTGACCAAGTTCCCAAACCACTGAAAGGAAAGTCTGACTTGGGTTATTCACACACTTAATGGAGCCTTGGTTATCTATAACCTGCAACAGTGTTCACAGATGTAACATAATCAAGCAGAAACATTTTTAAATGTCTAATGTCAGTTTATGAATGTTAACATTTTTAGAACAAATATTTTCGAAGTAAAAGTAAAAACTTTCTAATGTGCACCATAAAACTTGAAGTGCTTTAAACAAGTAATGTTGATATTAGAAAAAAAAAAGCTGTAGATATATGAACAGTCTCATATATCCCCCAAGAGCAATATAAACATTCAACATTATTTTTTAAAAGGTGTGACCGAGCTTGGGTACCTGGTGAGCAAGTTCGTGGGACACAGTCATTGTGATGCTGAGCTTACTGGATGCAGAAGACTTTTCGGCATCAAACAACAGAACGGACTCTCTATATGTCGTCAGGCCCCAGTTTTCCATGGCACCAGACTGAAAGTCAGGAATAGCAGCAAGGTCTTGAGGAAGAAGAATTTAACAGAATATATTACCAGTGTCAAAGCCACCTCTCCCAAACACCAAAAACATCATGGTGTATTAGGACCAAAAGACAAGCTACACTGCCCATGCAGAATTATGCACCTTCAGCTGGGAAGATCCTTTTGCAGTGGTGAAAAGGGCTTCAGTGACTCCATCATTTTACTAATAATGAGAGCCAGTCAGACTTGTGCCTCAAGCCTCTTGATCCCATTTCTAGCTCTCTGATCATAAGTTTTAGAGCTAAAAATTTTGAAAAATTATCTCAGTAATCCACTCTATTTTGGATGCCCAACACATAGATATACTTACAAACTCAAACACAATAGTTTTAAAGGATCTATAAGCATTTCTTACACTGTATAAATATATTTATTTAAAAAATTTATTACACACCCTCCATGTCCTTGCCAAACATGTGGCAGGGATAAGAAAAACAAATACAGCTTCTGCCCTCTGCTGTCTGCCCAACTAATAATATCAAAAGGCAAAATAGTCCCCAGGCCACGTGCCCTAGGAACCATAAGGAGATCTGCTTTGTTCAGCATTGGAAGTTCATTATACAGATGTGAGGCGAGAAGATTCTCAGCAGGACCAGCCTGTTGTTTGACACTTGCTTAGATTTTTATAGCCTGGGGGCTGCTGAGAAAATCATGAGGATCTGCTAATTATAAAGGTATAGTCCATGAGTGAGGTCATTAGGTTATATCTTGTCATATGTGAACAAGAGCTCTACCTTGTTTGGGTAAAGGATATGGTATACTGAAATAATCTTCATAAAATTCTAGAAGAGTCACAGCAGCATCCAGGGCATAGTCTGCTTGGTTTATCTTATCTGGCACAGCATACACAGAGACCTAAAGAGAAAGCCATGGAAACACAGTCAACATCACAGTGGCTTCTCCACATATCTATAGCAAACACTGACACTGATGACTTCATACTGAAGGATGCGGTTGTCAGTATTAAAGTAGTCCATAAGGAATTCCATTTTGATACTGATGCTGACTACTCCTAGTCAACCTTCCTAAACAACTATCAATACTGAACCGCATATAAAAAAAAATTGTCTCCTTTAATGTGATTATAAGGTAGCCAAAAAAGAAAGGGAGATGTAGAAGCCAAAAGCAAGTGACAGACCCTCTGAAGTGAGCAGGGCACTGTGACCAGCTCTTGTCCTGTAGGCACTAGCCCAACCCAGGTGGATGTAGCTCAGAGCACTAAAGGACTTGAGGGTTAAGAGATAAGGTGCCTAGCCCAGGTGGGAATTCCAACAAGTCCATAAAACTAGATGTTAAAGGCCATACCCTTAGTTTAAAGGTAAATCGAAAATAACCATCCTATACCCTGGAAAACTGCAAATGAAAAACAAAACAAAACACTCCAGTTGATTCAAACCTTGCTACTGTATAAAAGAGAACAGGGACATTTTCTTAGAGAATTTACAGCTAAAAGCTAATCCTCACAGGGTTTAACAGCTGGACTCACAGGGACCAGGCAGTCCAAAAACCTAAAGCCAACCGTTTTATGTAAAGTCATTCCTGGAGTGATAGGTAATCTCAATCCCCTGCAGAAACAAATACAAATTCTCTGGAAGAATCCACTTTTGATGGATGCAACACAAGTTCACAAATGTAATTCACACAAGGAAACAAGATTCCACGAGCCAAGAGTCAGAAGAACAATAAAAAATAGAATCAGATACACAAAATCTTTAATGACCATAATTGTCAAAATATATAATATATATATATATATTTAACTTCTTTTAAGAAATATAAGAACTAAAAAAATATTAGTATGGATTATATATTACAAAAACATCATTTATGAAAGATTCAGAAAGGTGACCAAGGTGGTGGTGTTTTTGCTACTAGTTTCACTGTTGAATTTAGAAGGTTCATTCACCCAAATCTCAAACGCCACCTTCAAATTCCCAGGGAAGTAAAGATATCTCAAGCCACGGTAGTTGAAGAGCAAAAAGCAATTCGGCCAAAAGGCCTCAGTTATTCAGGCCTCAGTGAAAGCCAGTACAAATATATGAATATCTTCACAATATGAACCTGTTCAAAAAGCCCTATTTGTATCTGGAGCCGTGACATACAGTTGTATAGATTATCCATTGTGCAGTGGTACCCAGACCAGGGGCAAATGATCTCCAAATAAAAAGATTTTCCTCCAGAATTCAAAGTTCCCTGGCCCAAATGTTCTCCCCACAAAGTATTTTGCTACTCCAAGCCAGAGGCTTTATCTTGTTTATAACCCGCTGCCAGAGATCCCCTGCTCAGGCTTTAATGTGTGCTTCCAAACTGCAGAACGTTATAACCAGAAACAAGCTAAGAAACCATTGTAGGGCCAAGGTCAGAGCCAGTTAGTGGTGGACCTAGGTAGAACATAAGCAAGCCAAGCTCTCTTCATATTTTTGTTATTAGAACCCCATTGTAAAAACAAGTGTCTGTGACATATGGGCCACCAACTATCCTGTGTTGCTCAGGGTTGAGAGGGTTCCCAGGGTGCAAGCCTTCCAGTTTCCAAACCAGAACAACTCAGGAAAATCAGAACAAGCTGGTCACCCTGTGTGCCAGTCACAGGTTCACCTTGACTCCACTCTTGGTCATCTTGCTGACAGACTCAAAATCTGAAATAATGAAGGCCACCAGGTAGGTGCTCATCTTCACAGTGACGTCAAAATGGTCTTCTACGAGTCCATCGGCAATAATCACAGATTTCACCTAAAAGCACAGTAACTCAAGTGACCAAGGAATCCAATTATTCCAACACACTTGACATATATTATGGAGTCATTTCCCTAATTACCAGAAATAATATTGAAAGCAATGGTATGGCATTTCCATAATTACTTGATAACTTCTCTAATATCTGATTATAATTTAGATATTAGGATCAAAATATTTGATCAGTTACTTGTTTTCTTAATTGGGTACCACCAAATTCACCTCTTTAAAGTATGCAATCCAATGGTTTTTAGTGTATCCATAAAGTCGAACAACTATCAATCAATACTTAATTTCTTTAAGAAATTCAGATGATTGCAAACTGATTCATATCTGTGGATTAATAACACAGATGGCACAAAGCAAAACTGAGACCACTGGCTTTGTCTAATTTTGCTCCACTTGTCCTTAAATTGAGGTTTGAGAATTATCTGGAAGTGTGATATGTAGTATCCTCTACATTGGACAAATGTATAACCATGTTACTCCTAAAAGGAGCTGCTCTTTTCTATACAACTGAAAGTAACCTACATCTGGTCTAATCTGCAAAGTTTCCTCCAAACTCAGACTTACTTCACTAACATCCAGAGCATTCCAGGAGCGGCTGTGCAGATACGGCGGGATAATAATGATACTGTCTAAGAGATCTGCTCCTAAAGGGCAACATCTCATCCCTCAGAAGTGTTGAAGTGAGATCTTGCAGAAAGACCCAGCCAGACAAGGCCATTAACAGCCACACTTCCTACAATCCCACATCCATCTCTACTTCTGGACCCTCATCCTTCTTCGTACCAGCCATCGGCCACAGCCGTGGTGCCTGCTTTTGGTCATTTAAACTGATTCTTCTACACAACTAGATTTATGCTTATAGGATCCCAAACTGTCTTCTTTTTAAATGTCTTCTGTACAATTTCCACCACAATTTCCAATATACTAACCAAATTTAAATATGATTAATTCCTGCTCACTGCCTGGACACTTTGATGTTCCAATGATACACAGTATAGCAACTGGTTTTCCAGCCCTTTCCCCTCAACTCCATATCTGCAACCAGAAGTCAGGCCTCTCCTATTTTATCCTGCCAGTGACGGGCTTTCATGTCCAATAGGCAAGACTGCAGTCAAGACTTTTCTACTCTCAACATGCAGACCCTGGATATTCAAAGACTTAGACTACAGTCAGTGCTTTTATGGAGTCTCCAGAGCTTGTGGCCCTCTCTCTACAACCCTACAGATTTCTCCACTAATCCTGTGTGGTCATTCAGGCTACTGCACATCTCCATCCCACCCTGATTCCTTTATTCTCCTAATGTTGCGGAGTGTGATGTCATACTGTTGCCTTGGGGAAATGACTATAATTTCAAAAGGCACCTTTGCTATATCCAATTCATATGTGGAAATAGCATAATTATTTTTTATCTTCTCATACAGAGTTGGGAACAGGGACCTAAGTTCTTGACTGACAAAATGTACACAAGAGTACTTTTAATAGAGGACAGCCCCTTGGGGAATCAATAATTTTGCTTGAGGAAGGGATCGTTAAGGTATTCAAAGGTGGGTAAGGGTTTTATGGTCGAGAGGTTGCACAGGACCCTCAGTGTTCTTTCATGCGAAGACCGCTTCCCTAGCCATCATAGGAATGAAGCTGGGCAGCCTTTAGGACCCTGGGCAAAGCCTGTTGCATGCTTACTCTCGTCCATAGAGTGCTTCTCTGAACAAAACATGCTCTTGCAGAGTTGGTATACCCCAGGCGCTGTGCACCAACTGTGCAAGCCACCACACTGTGCAATTATGACACTTAATGAGTAATTTTTTTCCTTTACCCTGGTCATCTTCTCACTTTTAAAAATCATAGGACTGCTGTCCACATCTGCTTTGAAACTGGACAATAATGGTTTCTCTTAACAGAGATATTCATCTATTATTAATTTAAAATTCAGTATCATCCTAAAAGATTATTTTTCTTCTTTTCCACTGTCTGCCTAATTTTGCACATAAAGTTGCACAGTTATTATTAGCAGTAGTATATAATACATGAAAATCATGAAAAACAAAGCCTACGTCCTAGAAATATGGCCTTATTTGACAAAGCGTTCTCTTTGAAATTGTCTTACAAAACTGTATGAGAAAGTAAGAGTGAAAGTGTTGTGTGAAAGGCACAGATCATTTAAACCCCAACCGGATTCCTTGCACAATTTCCTTCTGGTCAATATTGATCACCTCAACTATTGTTCTTCCTGAAACCATGAATTTTTTTTAAGGGCAAATGTTTTCTTTGACTATAAATGCCTTCGGCTTAAAACAATCAAAAGCATTGGTTAGAAATGAAAAAGAAAAGTTGGCAATCATCTGTCACAGAATAAAACAACCCGAAATCAAGCGGATGTGAACCATTCCAAGGGTATTGGGAGCCACAGCGAAGCAACAGGTTTTTCCGGTGCACAGTCCCACACCTCAGACTCACCAATGGCATGTTGGAGATGGCCACGTGCCTCGGCTCCCTTCTGATTTTGATGGAGAAACTCGCTTTGAAGGCTGGTTCATCAAAGCAGGGAAAGGCCATTCTGGCTGCCACTGGTTCAAACTGTGTGGATGCAAGTACCCTAAAAATCACAGAGAGGGAACTAAAATTGAGTATGACACACCAGCGACTCCAAAATCAGTGTCCACTTTTTTTTTGAATTGCTGAAGTTATATATGACTGATGTATTTCACTACTACCTCAGTATTTTTAAAACATAAAAGAAAAAAGTATTTTACATGATGAAAGCTTGTATAAACTAAGTTAAAAGACAAGCCACTGGGGAGAGTCCTGGAAAAGTATCTCAGGCAGAGTTAATAGCCTAAAAACCAGTAAACTACTAAAAATTACTAAGAAAATACCTAATGACCAGGTGGAATCTTAGGCACAGGTCATAAGCAGGCAATTCACAAAAGAAAAACCTATAAATCATTAACAAACATATCAGAAGTTTCTCAACTTTCTTATTAATGAAAGTAGTATAAGTAAGAAAGATGCCATCTTTTGGCTTTTGCTCTAAAAAGACTGCCAATACATAGCATTAATTAGAAGTGAGAAAATACAGCAAGGGATAGCAAAAGTTTGTAGATTCTTTAACTTATCAATTTTAATTCGAGGGATTAAAAAGAGATGAATTACAAGAATGTTCATCAAAGTACTTCTGATACTGGAAAGTTGGAAACAATTTAATTTCCACACATGAGAGACTAGTTACATAAAGTGACACACAGACATATATTTTAATAAAACCATTAAAGTGATGCACAAAGATAGTCATTAGCATAAAACATCATCTCAGTATATTAAAATTTCTTAAAATTGCCTTGTAAAATAGAAAATAAAATGCATAAGTAACATGCAAATCTGGAGACAAGTCTGAAAGAACATTCATTACCTTGAAGTAGAAGTAGTGGTTCTTCCTGGGAGCTTATTTGTCATAAACTTTACTTCTTAAAAATTCTTTTGCTAGCATCTGATTTCTAACCTTGATAAAATAATATGGAATCGATATAAACTACCATGAAGTTTTAATGTTAAATTCTAGCATAAAATTTTCTCAAATTCATCTTCTCCTTAGGGAAAAAAAATATATAGCTTCTCCTTAAAAACAGAAACAAAACAAGACAATTGCAATCACTGAAAATGTCTCTTCCAATGGGCTGCTGTGGGCTGACCTGTGTCCCCTCAAATGGTATTTTAATGTCCTTAACTCCACTATCTCTCTTATTTGGGAATAGGGCATCTATGCGCATGATATAGAGCCTTAATCCAATATGTCTGGCACACTGATTAGATGATGAAAACTGGGACACAGGGAAACACAGAGAGAATGGCCATCTGAGAGCACAGCAGCAATGCAGTGCAATGAGAGTCAGGGCCAAACGGCCACCCCCAGATACTAGGAAGAGGCAGGAAGAATTGAATCCAGAGTCAGAGAGAGCTGGGTGTGCTGACACCTTGATTTCAGATTTCTAGACTCCAGAACTATGAGAAAATAAATGCTCCCTTTCCCACTTTTCATGGTACTTGAGACTGACCCCATTATATTTCCAGCCCTTTTAAAATTTTTATTTATTTTTATTTTTAGACAGAGTTCTACCAAACTGCTAGAATGACCAGGCTGAATTCAAACTTGTGATGCTCCTGCCTCTGCCTCCCAGAGTGCTAGGCATATACCAGCATGCTGGCTTAATGTCTGCTTTTATTTTTAAGGCACAAAGTTTGTGGTACTTTGTTAGCACGATTCTAGACTAAGGCATATAGAAATACTTAGTACGCCTTAAATTTAATCTAATAAACCAATAGATACTTGTCTGATAGAGCCAGAGAAAAGAAAAGCTAGCTAATATTGAATGAAAAATGAGATAAAAAAAGCAAGGAAAAAGCACTGATCATTTTTAACATTGTAAAGAAAATGCAAAAGCAAAACCAAAGAAATTCAACAGTGAAGAGAGTTTTAAAATAAGACAATGTGAAATAATATAGTGTGGGCAGCACTTGAAGCTTAAAATGTTAAAGTTACCTTACTTCCCCCTGCTTGGTTCTGTAGGTGCTTTTGTAGAATCCATGGAAAGTCTCAGACAGATTGCCAGCGTAGTCAATGACAACTGTGTATGGGAGCCCAGCACGAAGGGGCTCCAGAGCTAAGAGAGCGACTTGTTCATGCGGGAGATATTCCAGGACCCTCAGTGGTTCTTCAGCTGGCCCCTGTCCTGCTCCTTTCCTGAGGGTGGCCTTGGAGATCTGCAGGTTGTGACTATGCAGGATAATGGCACTGGTGGGCTGGCTGGCTGTGACTTCTATTTCCGTGGTGCCCCAGAAGGTCAATGTGCTGAGGTTTGCGTGGATCATGAGATTATAATGAACTGGGATGACATACTCCGGAAGTCTCATTTTGTTCCATGGAAATGGAGATCCGTCACTAGCTTTTGGAGATGTAGTGTCACTACTGTGACACAGAGAAGGAGTTAACACAGCTAAGAGGGTCAATAGTGAGGAAAATAGAATTGACATGCTTGCAAGTGGCCACTTGAGGGGCAGAGGCACCATCTTCCTGCCAGAACTACCTAGAACCACAAATGCATGAAAGCAAAATAAATAGTCATTAAAGTGTTATCAAATACATACTATCAGAATTATCTACCCAGCATTAACAGACATAGAAACAAACTTGCAAAACTACCAGGTATTTTCCTAAAAGTAAAATTACCTTCCTTATGTTATTAATCGACAGAGGAAAGAACTTAAGAGGACAGTAACATCATTTGTCTTTGAAAGTTTAATGCTAGCAGCCCAGGTTCTTCGTGGAATGCGACAAACAAATTCTAGTTTATGAAGGTAGAAGAGGAATTATAAGAGGATATCAGGTAGTTCCATAAATGGTCCCAGAGTTGCAGGAATTTGGGGAGATGAGGTTCACAAAACAGGCAAAGATGACAGCAGAAAGTACATCAGGGAAGCATCTCATCAAAGAACCACTCCTCACTGGCCCTGGTCCTCAGCAGACGTGGTCTACTGCCCCAGAAATCAGAGGCTGGCATTGCTGTAACCATCACTAGAGTGAGGTCCCCACTGCCCCTGCAACTCTGCATCGCTTCAAAGTATCTAACTTGAGGTCTCACTGTCGGAACTGAGATGAAGCGTCCACAGTAACTTGGTTCTCAGAGCGTAAATTTCCAACTCTTTTAAAATTCACGTGGCAGGAGAGAGGCAGAAGAAGCCTCACAAGGGAGAAAATTTCTAAAATACAGGAAGCCTAGGAAAGAGTCTAAGAAGCTGAGCAATGAGAGGGTGAAAAGGCAACTACTCATAATAGTGACCTTAAATCAGATGAGTACCTTCATCAAACTGTCCTGCCAAAAGTTCATTATTTATTTATCCAAGATTGATCTAAAGAGTTCAGGGGGATTTTTCACAATAATTTCTGGCAAATTTATCAACCACCAGGATTATCTCTCAACAAATGTGTACTGAAGCCTGCTACACAGGAGACTGTGCGCCGCGTACTGTGTGGAATATAGTAACACACAGGACATAGACACCACACTCGAGGTCTTCAAACTCGAGAAGGATGGAAAACATTTACACACAAAGGTAGAGGATTATAGGAACAATAACAGGCGGTGCTGGGAAGAATGCAATGCTATTTCTACAGAGAGCGAGTCTGCCTGTAGCGACTCTACGGGGTGCCTCGTGCGAGACCAGCTTCTCTGTGTGGCCTAGAAGGACAGGCCAACTGGAAATGAAGGAGGGCCTTGAAAATATTGCAGGTGGAGCTACTAAGGAGAGCACAAAGGGAGAAAGCAGACAACTGATGTGGACAGAAGGGAACCTCCAAGGACTTGAGGGAGAATGGTCATTCTCAAGGGAAGGAGGGAAACAACTCCAAGATAATGTTCAAAGTATGGGAGTCACGATGCAGACCATATGTGGCACTTCATTTTTAAAGGCCAAAAGATACAAAAGCAATGTGAATTTTAAAAGAGCTGGAAATGTATGCTCTGAGAATCAAGCATAATTCTTTTCTCATGCACAAACACACCTCTCTGATGGATTCTTGCCAAGACAGACTCCTATTATGTGAGCTCAGGAAATTTGTTCTAATTCCCTCAAATTCCTTTGACTCATGTTCTTTCACACCATACAAGAAAAACAGTGATCCTCTACTGTGAATCTCTTGAAAGGATTGCAGTACACAGGATTTTCCCTTTCTAAGATATCAGTAGTTCTTAACTCTTGCACATATCAACTAGGGAGTTTTCCAAATTCCTGATGCCTACATCCTGTGGGCAATAATTAAACTGAAATCTATGGTGATAAGGTCAAGAAATCCTTTGTAATATGCCAGAAATTCTACTGGGAAGCCAGGGTTGAGAACATCATCATAATCCTTGTCAAAGCTGGCGTACTCCTTAAGCCCTGTGTGTCAGGACACTACTTCAAAGCGATGTCTGGTAGGTCCCTGCATAGCACTCATTCCCTAACCACCTCCCTTCCCCACACGCAGCCAAAGGCACCTACATGCCCCGATAGACAAAGGATAGCACCACCACAACAGAGGTCAAACTGGAGACTTCACCATCCCAGTTCAAAAGGCACCACCCGGATGAGAAAGGAGACATGAACAGAGAAAACAGATTTCCGTGTGTTCTTTTCATTTGTTTTTTTCTTTGTCTTTTTGTCCAGGAACCAACTAAAGGATGCTTCTAGCCATGGAGAAGTGGAGCAATTTAGAGCAAGAATAATGTTTAACTGCCAATATGGTAAAGAGTATCTGTCTGCCTCTACCTCTTTGGGGAGAACTCCAGGGCAGGGACAAAATGAATTTCCCTTGAGGTTGGGCACCAGAAAGCAAAGGGAACTTGTGTACTGCTTCCATCTGGAATTTCTGGCAGCAGCGACTTACTGCATGTGGCCCTTGCTCCAAGAAAACAGACAGCTCTGTGGACAGGGCAGGTTCAAGAATGTGAGTACTCTGGGGGTCCTCCAACAGTCCAATAAGAGCAGTCAAAATTCCAAGGGATCCTGAGCTGACAGAAAGGCTCACAAGCTGGTGAAGAAGTGGGAGGTGGGGTCTCACATCAAATGATTTTCTAAGTATGGTCCATGATGAGGCCAAAGAGAATTTGGTGAATCTCAAGGAGGTTTTAGTCCAGGAAGCCAAAATGGAATGCAATATCGACAGCCTAAATGTCAGAATGTACAGCCACAGTCAATGGATAAATGATGCAAACTTTAAGTACTAGGTCTTTCCCAAAAGGAAAGTTACCTACATTGTATTAACAAGTAGGAAGAATTTTACAATTGGCAACAACCATTTTAATCCACTCCATTTAATGTTCTATTGAATCCTGGGCAGAGTAACTTCAAACCTGTAACATTTTAGTAGACTTAATTTTTTTATATGTCTGTTTCTCTTTATTAAATTATAAAGCTCCTCAAGGCAAAGACGGTGTCTTATTGATGTGGTGCATCACAGACATTCACTGAATGTTTGAGACTGAATCATTGAGATGCAGTTTTCTGTCCTAAATCATCAAATGGAGCAATTTCCCTAAAATGTACTTTTTAACCACCACCCC